TAATGAATTTGATAATCAATTGCATATTATATTGAATAAATTAAGTACACTGATTTACAGAGATCAAGTCTAAAATGTTATATATACTAAGCAAGAACTCTACCATTGATATGTATTCCCAATGTTTTCTAATTTACATTAAGAATTTCTATCATTCCAAACACAGAATTTTACATTGTTTTAGTTTTGCTTAGTCATTACAAAAAAGGAACCAATCAAAATAGAGCATATAGAATAAGTATTTTGGGAGGTTGATGCCAGGAAATCATGAGTTTTAGGCAATCCTGCATTAGTGAGACTCTGGCAAAATAAATAAATAAATAAACGATATAATGTTAGTGGCATTTCAGTCATTACAAACAAAATAGAGCCTATAATAATTCACCAATTTTAAGTCTAAGTATGAGTCAACTATCTTAAACACTACCCCAAATGCCTTCAGATGGGCTGTGATCTGGGAACTGATCAATCTGCTTGCATATCACTATGGGAGAAACTGATAAACTGAACTCTGAAACCAATGTTAAAGATAAGATATTCCTTAGAAAGCCTTCACAGTGTCTCTTAGTTGAAAGATTTAATGATGTCAAAAGTGTGTCTTTAAAAAAATAAATTTTCAATTTCTTTTATAAAAGACTTCAAAGTTGCAGCTAAATAGAAATACTGACCCATCCTGTAGAATTCTTTCATAATTATGATTTCATCTTTCATGGATCTTAAGATAGCCATTTTCTCTGTAGATGGTGATTGAAGGACACAATTATATAACACTGAATCAAATTATTTATGGGAAAGTAGGTTTTAGTCTCAATTAGAACTCAAATATAACATTTTCAGTTTTTAGATATCAAAACTTTTTTTGCTATATGTTATAATCATCTCCATGTTTCCATATGGAGCTATGTAGTTTATCATATATGTCATTCAAATAAATACAAAATAACTTTAAAAACATATAGAATAATATATGCATTTATAAATAAATAAAATTAATATCTAGCAGTCTTATCAATATGACCTAAAAGATTAAAAATGTAAAGCTTTAAATTGTTTATATAATTTATATTATCATTATTGATGCATAAGAAATAACTTCTTAATCATACAATAATATTTCATATATTCTATAGGGATAACTATTTTGTGAGAGAAAAAATGGAAAAGAGGAACACAGATCCGTTGCCTAGCATTAACTCAGCTCTGGATTCCCTACTGAGCATATAACATGGGCATCACGTGGGTAGGAAAATGTATATAGTTCAAGGTCATTCTTGGCTTTGTTCTCAATGAGTTTCAGGGTAGTGCATGCTGTATTACAGGAGATCTTGTCTTAAAACTTAATTGAAAATTTTTATTTATTTTTCTTTTGTGGTACTGTCTGTGTCTGAAACAATTTGCGTAGCAAGGCTGATCCTGAGTTCAGGATCAAAGATATGTAGATGTCACATAAAACGTAAGATGTAGCCAGGAATACTGGCTCTTCTATAATCATAGAACTCAGGGAGCTGAGACAGGAGAATTACCATGTATTCAAGGCCAGCTTAGGCTGCATCATTAGCCTTATGCCATCCCAAACTAAAAACTATCACACTTGCTTAAAAAGCAAAATAAGTAAAAAAGAAAAATCCAAAACAATAAAACTGTGTTGTGATCCTGAAAGATAGCTTGCCTGGCAAAAGAAATTGCTATCAAATCTGAGGACATGAGTTCAATATCCAGAAGACACATGGTGAAAGTAGAGAAAGAAGTCCTGCAAGATCTCCTCTGACCTCTACACTTGAATTGTGCCATGTAGACACTGGATCCTGTACAACGGTTCATTTGCAGACAGGCAAGAATGCACCACACACACACACACACACAAATAAAAATTATAATAAAAACTATACTATTATTAGGATATTAAAGTGACAATTTGAGCAGACTAGTTCATCCACATTGATTTTCATGTAATTCCATTGCATTCATTCCTAAATAAAATCATAGTAGAAACATCAACTAGAGTTAGAAATCGGTGGAAAAAGTTAGGTTTTTCCATTTGAACAGGATTTTGGTTTGGATTGGTTTGGTTTTTGCTTTTTTGTTTGTTTGTTTTGCTTTAGGAATCCACTCTCTTATAAAAAGCAAGAAGACATCAATGGTGACATTATATGGACATGCCAGGTCAGTCTACCCATGGAAGAAAGGATCTTATTCTATATCTAAGATGAGTAAAGTTGATGCAGATTGAAAATCATTCTTTGGATAGAAGGATTTCCATATAAATAAACCAAATGATGTGATCATGCTGCCCAAAATTTGTGGCTAGGCTCATGTTTAATTCTATGTACTAGAAAATATTTCCTATCATTCACTGTATAATATACAAAAGCCTAAACTCATGAATCAATAATTCAATGTGGAAGAAAAACTGGAGAGGGAAGGCAGGTGCCCACTCTCAGAAAAAAGACCTGTTTGTTTTCCTGAATAAAAGTGTGAGAAGGATTCCTATTCAGTTTTTTCACATGATTTTGAGCAATAAGAAAATAGACCTCTTTTTTTTTTAGCATAGTTACCTTCCTTAGGTTGACATTTTCCTTCCAGTACTTTTCTGTAATGCTGGATTAGAGATATATATTGTTTAAATCAGGTTTTGTTGTGCAATATCTTGTTTTCTCTATCCATAGTGATTGAAACCTTTCCTGGGTATAGTAGTCTGTGCTGGTTTCTGTGGTCTCTTAGTGTTGAGTACTTTCAGTACTTTCCAGCTTTCAGAGTTTCCATGGAAAAGTCAGGTGTGATTCTGATAGGTTTGCCTTTATTTGTTACTTGGCGTTTTTCCTTTGCTGTTCTTAATATTCTTTTTTTATTATGTATGTTTGGGGTTTTGATTATTATGTGGCAAGAGGAAAGTTTTGTGGTACACTCTATTTGGTGTTCTGTAGGCTTCTTGTACTTGCATTGGCATATCTTTCTTTAGGTAGGGAAAGTTTTCTTCTATGATTTTGTTGAATATATTTTCTGCGCCTTTGAGTTGGGTTTCTTCCCCTCCTTTTATCCCTATTATTCTTAGATTTGACCTTTTCACAGTGTCCCATATTTCCTGTATATTTTGTGTTAGGGATTTATTGGAGTTAAGATTTTCTTTGGTCGATGACTCTTTTTCCCCTAGTGAATCTTCAACACCTGACATTCTGTCTTCCAACTCTTGCATTCTGCTGGTTATGCTTGCATCTGTAGTTCCTGATTGTTTACTCATCTTTTCTAATTCCAGCATTCTTTCAGACTATGTGTTTTTTTATTGTCCTTATATCAGCTTTCACACCTTGCATTGTTTGAATTGTTTCTTGCAATTTTTGGGTTGTCTTTTCTTCCATTTCTTCAAAGGATTTTCTCATTGCCTCTTTCAGGACCTCTATTGTCTTCATGAAGTGGTTTTAAAGGCTGTTCTCTTCTGCTTCATCTGTGTTGGAATGTTTAGATCTTGCTCATGTAGAGTCCCTTGACTCTGGCGGCATCATTGGTTTTTATGTTGTCGAATGTGTACCCCAGAGAAGGGGAATGGTACAGGATCTCCTGAGTGGACTGGGAGCATGGGGGATAGGGAGCTGGGGTAAGTGAGGGGAAGAAGAAAAGGGGAGAGGAGACATGGGGGAACAGGAAAGTGGAGTCAGGGGAAGAATAGAAGAGAGCAGGATGAGAGAAACCATAATAGAGGGAATCATTATAGGTTTGAGAAGATATCTGACACTAGTGAGATTTCCAGAGATCTACAAGGATGACAACAAATGGCAACATAAGCAATAGTGGAGAGGCTACCTTAAATGTCCTTCCCCGATAATGAGATTGATGACTACCTGGTATGCCATCCTAAAGTCTTTATCAAGTGGCTGATAGAAGCAGAGGTAGACAGCCACAGCTAAACACTGAACTGAACTCCTGGAACCCAGTTGCAGAGAGGGAGGAGTAATGAGCAAAAGGGTCATGACCTGGTAGGTGAAACACACAGAAACAGGTGATCTGAACAAGGGGGAGCTCATAGACCCCAGACTGATGACTGAGACACGAGAATGGGACTGATCCAGATCTCCTGAGCATGGGTGTCAGTGAGGAGGCCTGGGGTATTGGATCCCTGGCACCTGAATGGATTTTGGGAGCCCATTCCACATGAAGGGATGCTCTCTCTGCCTGGACACATGGTGGGGGAGGGCCTAGGCCCTGCCCAGGATGATATGACAGATTTTGGAGATCGCCCATGAAGGGAGGGCCTCACACTCCTTGGAAAGTTGAGTAGGGACTGGATGGGAGGTTTGGGGGTTTGGAGTGGGGTGGGGGAGGAGAGAGAACTGGGATTGATATGTGAAGCAAGCTTGTTTCTAATTTAAATAATTTTTTAAAAAGTTAAAAAAAAGGAAATAGACCTCAGTAGTAAATTTTTTATTTCAATAATTTTAATGCTACCTTATTGGCTTCTACTTGGGTAACTAAGCAAGTGAATCTGCTTAAAATTTTAGAGTGAAGGAAATTTTTATGAGCAGCTACATTTTGTACAGTTAGTTGTTAGAATAGCAATGTAGACATACCATTAAATAAGTTTAGTACTAGTGATATAAAATTATTCCAAATGCAATATGAACTATAAAAGTACATAAACACATAAATATCATTTTATTTTCACAAATGCTGTTTGCCTCAAAAATACAGTAATTTGTTTTTTTCACTTAGAAATACCAATATGTTCTTGATGTAACAGTCTTGGTGTTTGTGGATGCATGCCTGTGGTTGTATGATTGAGAGTACTGGGTGTGTGTGTGTGTGTGTGTGTGTGTGTGTGTGTGTGTGTGTGTAAGAGAGAGAGAGAGAGAGAGAGAGAGAGAAAGAGAGAGAGATTACCTATAGTTACAAATGTAAATTCTTCCAATTAATCAAGATTATTAAAGCTATAAGCATATAATGGAGTCTCTTGAGAAGTTCCCCAATGAAGTTCTAATTGAGATTTTTATTTTTTCTGTACTTTCAGTACCACACTGGAAACTAAAGATAAAAGAGGATTCTCAAGTAAGTTATTTACTAATTGTGATGTTGCCAACCACACTTTGATTTTTTTTCACTGTCTTTCATTCCAGTAATTTTCATTCATTTATATTTATAAATAAATCCCTATCAGTCTTTGTGCATGGATTATTAGGAATGTTTCCCAATAGAATTAGGTCGATTTACTGTAAACAATTAATTAAACAGCCTTGTTAATATTTTTATCAAGCTTTTACAGTGGGTTAGAATATTTGCGATCTAAAGTGACAGTCCTTTTCAGACCAAATGACTACTCATTCCTTCACTTGGATGACTCTTTATTTTGTAGATTAAAAGGGGGTATTTAAGCCATTGAAGAAATTACCCTGGACAGAATGTGTTTGTGGTGATAACAGAATTGTATGCCTCAGGAAAGGAAGGCAGATCCTGTATCGCATTAACAAACTAACTATGATAAAAGAAAATTCAAGGAAGAAACTTGTAGCCTGAAATGCTGGTCCCACCTTTTTTCTGGAGTCCCTTTTAGATGAATAACATGATTTACAGACATCAACTTGGTACGACGTTAAGAACTGTATCTCTTGTATTGTTTCTCAGCTTCCCCACAACAGATTTTAAAGGGTCAGTGTGAAGTAGAAGGTAGCAGGCCAAACGAGCAGAGTAAAGACATGATTGGCAATGATGTTAAGGATTTTAAAGTGGCTACACTATATAAATTACTGAGCATCATATAATTCCAAATTCACTGGTTTACATTTTTCCTTTGTTGGTATGTTTAGTTGCTTTTGGACTCTGCTGCTGAGAGTCAACTAATCAGGTATATGTAAGTGGGGCACATTACCAAGTTGAATATATGCAATATTTATTGTATATATTTTTAATCCCTCGCTCCTTTTTCCACTCATAATTTCCTCACTCATCATAAGGAGCCATTCTGTAGTGATAACTTGTTTATACTCTCACAAATAAAGCTTGACTGAAGATCAGAAGGCAGAGTTAGTCACTAGTTAACCATAGAGGTCTGAAAGACCGTGCACACACACAAGAAGTGATACGGTTTCAGGAGGATACAGGAACTCAGTCTCTTTTCAGAAGGGAAGTTGGAGAAAAGGTGTGACTGTGACTTGATCCTTTGTCTCTCTGACCTCTCAGCATTTTCCCCTATATCTGATTCCAGGCTTTTATCAATAAGACCTATTAGAACTTGTACTAGACCATTCTACCTAAAATAGGGTTTTATTTTGTTACATGTGAGTACTTTTTTTTTAAAACAGGGTCTCTCTGCCTAGGAAAATCCTCACTTTCCTAGAAATCACTATGTAGTGACTGTTGTAATACCATCAATTTTGGGATATAGAACCATGGCAGGTCCCACAGTAGAAGATGGGATAGGGCAGGCTGAGGTACAACAGCAGGTTTCTCAGTGGGTGAGAGACTGCTGCAGGTGAGGGAAACAGAGACCTGAAGACACGACTTATGTGGAAGTTTTTATCGGGCATAGGTAAGAAAATAAGGTAAGAAAAGAGAAGAGATAAAGACAGACAGAGACAGAGACAGAGACAGAGATGGAGGGGGACACAGAGCTACTTCCTCAGAGACACAACAGAAGAAGAGAGAGGGAAGTGGGTGGAGTTCTCCTCTTAAAGGGCCAGGGTACTTATGCCTGTCATGCACTCAGAGGGATGGAGAGCTGTGCTAGGTTCCCAAGGGGCAGAGCCAGATTCGCCTGGTCTACAATAGTGACCAAATTGGCCTCAAAATTACAGAGATCCTCCTGCCTCTTCCTCTTGAGTGCATCGCCCTGACTTGTGGTATGAGTACATTTTAACACAAGAAATTCTATTATTATATTGTTTGTATATGAAGAAGTATGAATAAATTAATTTTGTGTTCATATTTTTAAATGGAAATGGGAGTAGCAAGAGTAGAGATAATATAAGACATTATACACAATTTTCTGTATTGCTAATTGACATTCCTATTACAGATAAATGAGTGCCTCTTTTAACACACAATTGCTAAATGAGGAATTATTTTTCATTCTTTATTCTTATTAACCTGATAGACAAAAACTTCTTCATATTTTTGCATTAACTAGGAACCCTTGATTACTAGTGAGAATGCACATATATTCATATACTTAGTGGTTATTTACATGTCTTCTATTTAGAGTCCTTGCTTTGGTACTATTTTACACTTAGCATTATTTGTTTTTTGGTTAAAGTTTGGTTGAAATGAAACAAACTGTACAAATTTAAATCATTCAAAGAAAAAAATTTGGACAACTGCCATATATATGCACAAGCCCCAAGCAAAACTAGGTGTAAATTATTTCCATCTCATCCAAATTTCATTTCCCTTTCCTTTTTGGTTCCTCTTTCCTCAAGCCCACCTTCTTATTATTACTTTTTGATTTATGTCACCAGAGATCTATCTTTTATGATTTTGGATTTAATAGATGAGTTGAGTTATATAATACATAAATACTTATCAAACCATTTGACTAATATACAATAGTCATACATATATTCATTATATAAAATATTACTCTATAAATATGTTATACATATTAATTACGTAACATTTGAAAGATACATAATATCTATTCGCTATATTGTATCTTAATAACTTATCCTTTCCCATTCTTGATTATTCTATCATTGTAAAAATATACTGTCACTCATTTATATATTTTCTTTACACTTATTATTCCTTGAAACTTACTATTAGTGTAGTGTAGTGGTGCATGCATTTAGTCCTAAAACTCTGGAGGAAGAGGCAGGAGGATATGAGGATATATGTGAATTTGAGGCTAGCCTGATCTACAGATTGAACTCCAGGACAACAAAAGCTATATATTGAGATTCTGTCAACATGCATGCATGCATACACACACACACACACACACACACACACACACACACAGAGAGAGAGAGAGAGAGAGAGAGAGAGAGAGAGAGAGAGAGAGAGAGAGAGATACAGAAGACAGAAAGAGAGAACGAGACATAGACAGAAATGAAGGGGAGAAGACATTCAGACTGTCTTAAATGTATGGTTGCTGAAAATTTGTTATATAAATTGCTTCACAGTCACTTGTTCTCATGACCCCATCTATGCACCTATGAGTACTATCAATTGGTCATATGGAAGACATACAATACAATTTATTAAAAATAAAGAAAAAAAATTCAAAACGACTGAGTCATTCTAATCTTCCACTAGACATATATAAATTATGGGGAAGTCCTGTGAATATGTCAATAAAGCACTGCTGGCCAATAGGGAAACAAGATAGGTGGGACTAGGAGTTGAGGAAGATTCTGGGAAAGAGAGACACAGAGGCATGATGTAGCCGCCATAGGAATAAGATGTCTGGATCCTTTTCTCTGGTAAGAGAAATACTTAGATTAACTATCATGGCTTAAATACTTAGGTCAGAGCTAGCCAGTAAGAAGCAAGCAAATGGCCAACAGCTTCATAATTAATATAGCCTCCTGTGTGTTCATTTGGGACTAATGTGGCTCTGGAACCAGACTGGCGGGAAGACTTCACTTTACATATAAGAATATTATTTTGTTGTATATCCAAAAAATTGTGTTTCTCATTTATTTTGTATTTATCTTTCCATACAATGAGAAACTGTAATTCATTATAACTTAATTTCAATTTTATTGGAGAGGTTTATATGTGGTTACTGTACAGTACTTTGTAAAACACTCACTATTTGTGCCTTTTTTAAAAAGGAGGTTCCTGTCTTATTTATGCAAGTTTGTACTAAAGCAATGTGTGTGTGTGTGTGTGTGTGTGTGCACCACAGAGGACAAACTCTGGTGTGAGCCCCAGAAACCTCATCCATCTCCTTTGACTCCAAGTCTGTCACTGCTGCGGAGTTCACTGATTAAACTAGACTAGCTGGCCAAGGAACCCATTGGATTCTTGCACCTCTGCTTGCTCAGCACTGAGAATATGGCAGTACCTGCAGACACAGAGTTTTTACATTAGTTGTAGGAACTCAGATCCTCAAAATTACAAGGCAAGTGGTTTTCTGTCTGAGCTACCTCCTCAGTTACATCTCTGTGCTTCACTGCCAACTCATGGGAGACCTTGATCAATTTCAGATTCAAACACTTTGTCACACAAATGTGTTGAAGTCACCTGAGTAGCTTTATATCTTCATTTTCTTAATTATTTTAGATAAATTCCAATTTTACTCATATATATTATGTTTATATTTTATTATTCACATTTCTCCTATGCTTGTACAATAAGCCTCTTCTGATTCCAAAAGAGTAATGTATTATCTTTGGTAGGTCTACAGTTCATCTGAAATTAATGTTTGTGTACACAACAGCAGAGATTTTTATTTTGTTTGTAAGTTAGAGTTCAATTGGTTTAATATTATTTGTTTACAAGGTGAAAATATTCATAAGTAGATCGTATATAAAATAAAGAATTGCTATCTGTTGAATATGAACAGTCCAAAATAAAATAAAATAAATAATTCAGTCATTGACTAGGCCAAAGCAAGTAGAAAAGATGTTTTACCAGAGAGGCTTGGAGAAGGAAATCCAGGTGTGGAAACTTGGTCAATTACAAATGTATAAGTCACAAGTAATCACTACATGTTTCAGAACAGCTCACATTTTAAATGGTGACAACAAAGAACTCCAAAGAAGATGCAACAATGCTGATTCTCTCACACTCTTCTCATGAAACATGGAAGGGAAATCAGGCTACTCAGGGAAATGCTCTCACGGCTCCTTAAAAAATTAAGCATATACTTAACTGTCTTAGTCAATCTTCTATTGCTGTGAAGAGACACAAAGGCAACTGATATAAAATTAGCATTTATTGTGTGCTTGCTTACAGTTTCAGGTATTGATCTCAACACAGTTTAAAAGTAGAAATTCTCATTCAGTCCACTAGAAGACTTGCCTGGCTGCAGAAGATGTCCATCTTGCAAGATGTGCTGAGAGGTGGTGGGGATAAATTTGGTGCTGAATTTATGGGAGTGGCCAACCAAT